ATAGTTTCAAACAAAAATCACAGCAGAACCACGGGGCATCTCACAGGAACACTCAACCTGTTTTCATTACTGAATGATTCAGCATTTTGAACGAATCGATTGAGTCAAAGATTCAATGACCCATTCATAAACATCTGTCTCAATCTTGAATGAATCAGCCGTTTGAACAAATCGTTTGAATCATGAATGAATCAATGACTCACTCATTAAGACGGCCGCCTGCCGCCACCTACTGGCCGTTTCGTGTTATGTTTAAAAGTAGATCATTCTTTCCAACGTTTCTAATTTGTAAATTTAAATCTATTTCATGACATTATTTTATGCAATTGTAATTTTTCAGTGTAAATGATTTAATTTGATCAGCCCTATAGTGTCTTATTATTCGAAATAATTTAATTTATTGATCACATTTAGGAATTTAAAATGAAAGATGAAGCATACATTTAATAATATTGGGGGAGGGGATGCCCTTTAAAGGTGCAAATATTACAATATGCCGATTTAAATATCAAAGCTAATTGAACACTGATGAGAATATTGTTTCAGAATAAATTAAAAAAAAAAAAAAAATTCGGACAAGAAACTTTTTTGACAAGCGTATGAAAGGCTTAATGTCGAGCCCTGCCTATAGCAATGTCATCAGGATACACATACACCGGTAGGCAGTGGCCCACCTTACCGGGTGACCATGTTGTGGTCCACCAGAATTTATAGTTTACCCACCTCTTTTTTTACCACTACACCTCTGAATAAAACGTACGAGTCCCAGTCACGCCGACCCTCTCTTCTTCCTTCCAAACACTGAACCTCATTATAGCCCTTAAAGAATGTTAAAAAATTGTAAATGGCCCTTGATAGAAAAAAGGTTCCCCACCCCTGTCTTAAAACAACAATTACGATATTATCATAGAAGTTATACATCTCCTGCTCACAGTTGTGTTTCTCACTCCGCCATCTAAAAATCAATGTGTAGGGCTGGGACAACGCGTCGACGCAAAATATGCACGTAGATAAATGTAAAAAAAAAAAAAGTTACATTTCAAAAATATGCGCGTTGTTTCGTCAGACCCAAAACAAAGATGGCGGCGCCAGAGAGTAGTAGCAACCATAGGGTAGCAACACGAGAGGCTCCTCAGACTTTCAGAAGTGCAAGGCGGCACGCACTCGTTCCTCTAAAGGATGGGAATTCTTTAATTTAAAAGGAAACAATTCCCTGATACGTCGTCTTTGCAAAATGGAGATGGCCTTTGATTCTAGCACCAGAGCAATGCACGCGCACCCGAAGAGGCGCCGCGGGAGCAGCTGCAGGTGACAGAGCGCCGTACGGTTTCAACGCCCCACTGCACTCGATGTTGGAGTAGGCTATAATACGTTGTCGACACCTAAAGTTTTAGGCTACAGTGTATGTTTTCTGTGTAATTAATTACAATATGTAATATAGTCGTGTATTCAAGGTGTGAAATGACACGCTTAAGCAACCCAAGTCAACAAACGGTTGTAACGTAATGTCTTCATTGATTGTCGTCGATGGGTCAGTGAGCACAGTTACATGCCAGGAGTATTCCGGTTTTAAACGTAATATTGGCGTCCGTAATAGTCCCTACATGTAACTGTGTTCACTGTCATGCCCACAGGATTTAATTAGCCTACTTGTTGATATTTAATCAATGGGCATAGCCTGTAGGCCAGGGGTTGGCAAGTAAGAATGGCATCGGGCCAAAAAATATTTTTGACACCAGATGGCGGGCAGGAACATAGTCAATGGATAATTTAAGAAATTAATTGATGAAAAATGCAACTAGAATTGCCTGTGCCAGACTGTTACAGTGTCTTTTGTAACTGGTAGTGAGCTGTAACTCTGTTAAATCCTGTAGTAGGACAGTCATTAACAAAAAGCCAAATTTGTGTGGGGGTGTCTGGGTTTTCACTGGATACATTAATAAAGCACTAGGGATGAGTCACGATTTTCGAATATTCGAGTCGTTGATTTAATTATAGAATATCGAATAGGTCGTGCGATTATTGTCTAAAAAAATCCCGATGCTTTCGGTGCTGATTCGGTGGTGACGCCGTGTTCATGTAACCAGAGGGTGACGCTGCCAATAACGCAAAAGCTGTCACAAGGAACTGGCAAAAGTAATGATTATGAATGTTTCAAATATAGCAAGGAGACATTTTAATTGTTTATTAGTGTCTGTGTCGGCTGCAATAGTGACCGCAGTAGTTAACGCGCCTATAGAGAGAAATGCACATTTCATATGGATTAGACATAAGCAGAGAGTAGTCGGTTTCTTTTCATTTTGAATTGTTTCGATTAAATTTAGACATTTTTAAGCTTTCTATATATTTCTGGTGTCTGTGAGGCAGGTTAAACGCTGACTTTCGGTTCATTTATGAGACGAGCTCCAGTTCACGAGCAATGCAATCGCGCCGGCGCCTCCATGTCCTGATTATATTGTCTGCTATATTTGCTTCTTATTTATTAAATCCAGGCAATTGGTTGATAAAACATTCATTAAAAATAAGATACAAATGATACAAAACGAAATTCAATTTTTAGAAAGGCTTTCTACAAAATAAAACTTAACGAAGTGGTCAAAATCATGTCTGACCCACATGTCTCCCGATATATTGCGGCATCTTGCAACACATCCTGCCTTGCCTTACACACATGGGAGATGCGGAATGGATAAAAATAACTCAAAAAATAAAAGAGGACTTGAATAAGCCCATTAATGGCATGTTTAAGTCAGGCTCTTAACAAACTGTTTTATTTCCTCTTTCCATATTGTGAATAATAAATGCGTATCATTTTAATTAGCTTGTTACACAATGGAGTCTAACTTATTGTAATAATTATTTGACGTAGACTACTTTTAAACTTAGAATTATTCCTTGGCATCCTCGCATAATAAACTGCATTTTTGTATTGTTTGCGTGCTGGAGGTACGCTATTATGTGTGTGTAGAGTGATGTTAACATTTAAGCTAGCTGGTGAGAGAAAATGGCACTATCAAAGAGTCTAAAGAGGAAAGTTGACAGCGAAAATAGCCATACAAAGAATAATGAAAAGACAACTCGTTCATCCTACCTAGTTTTGTAAATGCAAAGCCGGTGTGTCTTATCTGCAACGACAACCCGATCACACTAAATGCGTCTCTATAGCACGCATTGTGTTTATCGTGCAATTTATACGCGGAAATGAGTTTTTACGTGCATATGATACGCATGTGTAGGTTTAGTAGTGGTGTGGGGTGCGTGTGTATTATACGTTGGGTAGAATGAGTGGTGTGGGGTGCGTGTGTATTATACGTTGGGTAGGATTAGTGGTGTGGGGTGCGTGTGTATTACACGCAATAAAGTGCTTATCAGATGCACGTAAAAACTCATTTTCGCGTATAAATTGCACAATAAACAACGCGTGCTAGAGACGCATTTAATATAATATTAAACATTTCATGACGGTAGAGGTGTGTCTAGCGATCCACAGACTCTTTTGAATGTCTTTCAGAACTTTTCAGGCTGCGGCGCGGGCCAGATATTATGGCCTGTTGCCGACCCCTGCTGTAGGCTGAGGTGGATACATAGAAAAATCGTATATTGTGTTTCTTTGTTGTTGGTTTATTATTATATTTATTTTAATGTGTGTGTGTGTTTACTTTGTTTTCAGGGATAAGAAGAATAGTGTGGAAAGTTCCATGACAGGCTGCTGGCTCCCACTGTCGTTGTTAATTTTTATTCATTTTTTGTTGGAAAAGCACTCTCTCTATTAGCTTAAAGCCCTCAAGTTTACATTCATTCGTTACTGTATTCTTTCAATTGCTCTCAACAAGTATTTTGGGTGACCTTTTTATTTTTTTATTGAATGTTAGACATCAAGTTGTTGTTATTTTCATCTGAAAGAAGAATTACAAGATGCACTTTTTTCAGTAAGCTAGGCCTGTGTGTTTTCAAGGTTTTATTGAATGCTTTGCACTTATATAGTCTTTTATTTTGGAATTTTAAGAGCAATAAACATATATTGCAATGTTAAGAAATTCTTGTTTTTTTCCTTCAGATATGTAAATCAACATGTATTAATTGCTATTTTGTCAATTAATGGGGAGATAATCGATAATCGAAATCGAATCGGACTGGGAAAATGAATAATTAGATTAATCGATGCAGCGGAAAAATAATCGCTAGATTAATAGTTTAAAAAATAATCGTTTATCCCAGCCCTATCAATGTGTGATGCTTTCAACAGAATCCTAAACATGATTCTAAACATGATTCACACACACACAGAGTTACTGGCTCCATACTATCAGTAGTGTAGTATTAACAGTATCAATATTGGTTTTTTTTAAAGCTCAGTTATCAACACCTCTGGTTCCCGGGGAAAGCAGGAACTGATGAAGTGTGTACCTTGAGTCACTGCCAAATGCATGATTGTAAATGTGGAGATGGTTTGGGTGATTTGGAAAGCATATTTCCAGCTGTGTGCATGACATGCACTCTTTTAAAGGTACAATATGTAAGAATTTTGCATCAAAATATCCAAAAAACACTTGCAGTCTTATATATTTCTTTCAATTATGTACTTACATTATCCTAAACGTTTCCAAGAATTCATAAATTCAGAGAAATTCACAATTTTACATAGTGCCCGTTAGGGGTGGGAATCTTAAGGCACTTAACGATCCGATCCGATTCTGGGAGTATCCAGAATCGCAAGCGCCGGAAAGTGCCGGAAGTGATCTCTTCCAAAAAACCCCAAAAAATTCAACGTTGTCTGTTGATATATCGAGATCGTCTTCCACTGCGATTTCCTGTATATCTAAATTATTATGTTTAGATCTTCACAGTGAAAGGTAATTCCGAAATCTCTGTGTAAACAATGAGTGACGTACACGCGCGAGAGATCACATCTGGCGCTTGCCCAGACCGAAGCGCCGGCGCCCTCAGATCACTTGGACGTGGCTGTGATTACAAGAGGTAAAAACGATATTAATACTGTTCGTTTTCTCACACAAAACGCCCGTTTCGTGTCTTAGGCCATCAATGTGTACTTACATTTACGAGTCATTAAATCATGTTTAATTTGGACTTCTCTGTGCATGCTCTTTGAGGTGGTGACCATAGACCTGCATTATATGACTGACAGACAAGAACGGCTTGACCTAAAAATATCAAAATTGAAAATACTGTGGAAACAAAGACACCTACATCTTGGATGCCCTTGAGGTAAGCTAAAACATACCAAAAATTAATTTCAAAGTGAACTATCCCTTTAAGTAGATTGTGTTTAACACACAAAAGAGTGATCATCAGTTCAACACACAAGAGTTATAGAAATTCTACTTGATTTAAAAAAAAAAAAAAAACTACGCTGTATCGGATTGGTATCGGCCGATACTCAGAATTTATAGTATCGGATCGGTTTTGAAAAAACGGTATCGTTGCATCCCTAGTATCCGTGTTATCAGTGAATGAGGCCCAAAGTTAATGCATAAACTTCACCATTTCTATATGTATTTTATTTAAATATACAGTAGTGACCAAAAGTGATGTCTGGAGAGATTTGTTTTTAATGACCCTACAAGTTTGATCAAACCATCAAAAGAAGAGGAAAATTTTATATATATATTTTTTTTTCAATGTTTTAAATATGAGGTCAAATCAAAACACTCGACCTGGTTAAGGTATGTATCTGTTTTCCTGGGCCGAACATCACTTTTGGCCACTACTGTATATGCATGTCATGAGTTTGCTCTGTATGACCAACACAGACTCCAGTTAAAGGACAGGAGCGTCACTTGAAACTCAAACTCATCACACACACATTATTCATTCGGCCTATATAAAACATCAGTGGGATTAGCTACAGTTTCTCTGTAAAACACAAGCTGGTGTCCTGTACCTTCTTGAGGACGTACCAGACCCCGACCACACCGCTCACACACAGGCAGATCAGATCCTTGGTGTCGAACTCATAGTTGAGGATCTCTGAGGAGAAAACAGGCTTCAGACGATCTACAGAGCTTCAGCACCACACACACACACACAGCAAGCGTCCGCCTCACCCTCTCTGCCGTCTCCTGAGCCCTGTGTGAACAGCAGCTGGTACTGCTTGTTTGGCACGTTCGCTGGGAAAACTCTGCACATAAAGGGACTGGGACAGCAACACCAGAAGAGTCAACCTCTTAAACCACCTCATTAACACAGCATTACGTGTGTGTGTGTGTGTGTGTCATACCTCATCGTGTGAGACAGCGCTAATATTCCCAGCACGAAGAAATACATGGAGAGCAGCAGGTTAATGTACTCTTGTGAGAAAACCTGCAAGTGAAGTAAAACAAAACAGACATGGGTACGAGTCTATAAAGTGTAACTGGGAAAAATCTGGTTAATGGAAAAAAGTGTTTTACACACTCGCACACTCAGACACACACACACACACTCACCTTGAAGAACAGGTAGAGGCCGAAGAGAGTGCAGCTGGCGATGATAGGGAAACGAGCGGCGTCTCTGCTCGTGATGGTCTCAGGCATATCTGAAGCATTCTGACACACACACACACACAAATCCGGTCATGGTCACTCAATATACACAGTCTACTTTGTGCAACAAATCTTTTGCATATTTCATTTTTCTCATTTACTCAGTCCAAATGTGTATCCGAAGCGCCTCGACTGAGCGCACCGGACCGATCTCTCTTCTCGCAGTGATCACAGACAGACGGATGTCACGCGGCTCACACTCGCGTACGGTGACGCTAATGAACTGGACGGCATTTAACTTCTGTTGCTTTTAAATGAAATTAAATATGACGAAGACACCAAAAGTGCTTGTTATAATTCCATTCCAAAGACGTGTTAATCATCATTTTTACTTTAAGACAGACATGCTTTTATATATAATTTTAGAAATATGACAATCACAGAACCCATAGAGAGTTCACACTGACAGAGAGTTTGGGAATATGCACACAATTTATACACATAAAGCATGATATCAGACATGTTTTTAACATGACCTCAGCGCAGGCGGCCCACACTCGGATGGACCATGTGATGATGATGATGACGATGATGTCGGGCCATCATTCTCGACCTCAAGCATGGCTTATGTGACACTTCCCAGTAGTAGCCTAATATTAGCCGCTTTACATCGCCGCTCACTCACACGCTAACCTAGATAAATGTGTGCTATTATTAGGCGCATGTCTAATTTATATTTTAAAGGCCCATTATTATGGTTCAGTTTTTCTCTGTAATGTAGAACAATGTTACATATAATATTCTTTCTCAGCCCTGAAACAAATCCCACTCCCCCAGTAGGCCTATACTGTATATTTAAGAAACTAAATTAATATCGTGCTAGTAGACTAGGAAAATATAGTCCGGGGTGACCCTAACACACACACACGGCTTTGGATGTATGGGAAGTTCTGTCGCTAATATATACAGGGTTCCCACACTTTGGTTAACTTCGAATTCAAGGACTTTCCAGGTCCAATACCCTCAAATTCAGGACTTAATGTGGGGACACACACGTTGTGTTCAGCAACAAACGTTGAGGATCCATCGTAGTGGTTTCATGCGAGCGTGAACGTCATGGCAACGTACAACACAAAGCACCTCACGCGGGAAACACTTAACGTAACGCATAAATGCACGTAACTAACGTAAATCAAGCTAGCTAGTGTGCATAGGCCACGAAGTGTTGGCGAAATACACTTTCATCCGAACGGAGGGAATAATATGGAATTTTTTCCAGAAAACTTCTTGCACAAAATAAACTTCAAGCACTTTCAAGGACCTGTTTCTATGTGGGTTTACTTTCCAAAACTTTCCAGGGCCTTGAATTTTTTTCACACGCTTTCAGGATTTCAAGGACCCGTGGGAACCCTGTACATTAAAGCAATTATGTTTAGATTCAGTGTTAAAAGAGTTACTCTTATCAGGGTCTTGCAATAAAACCTAAACGCGGTCAAACACTTCTGCAACTTGCTTATGCTTTGAATTAAAATGAAATTATAATCAGGGTTGCCGAAACACGTGTGGTGTGAGACTCACGCTTTCAGACTCATGCTCTCACGCTGCCTCACTGACTAAATTTCATGCCAGATAACGGGACAAACTCTATTCATAGTACTTTATAGGTCTGGGTTAAAAATGTAGATCTCAATTTTCAACAATTCTTCATTATTTTTATGAACCGATATCGAATCGGTCTTTCAGTCTTTGCTATTTTCAGTTGATGAATGAACAGAACATTGTAGCTCCTCCCATCGAATGAATCGCAATAAGCTTTGCTACTTCTGATATGACACAAAGTCTCAGCTTTGTAATTCTGTTAGTTTTATAATGAAATTCACTCAAATGTGTTTGTGTCTCTGATGTGTGGCGCCTCAGTTCAGGCAGCACATGATCATCTGTTCTGCTCTACTACTGTAGTAACAGCATGAAATAAACATGAATGAAATATTGAAAGATACAGTACAAATGACTGAAATCTGTATCATGTGATCAGTCAAGCAGTGTTTCAACACGGAAAGACGTCAATAAAACAGCTTGTAAACAATGTCACAATGTTATATTTACCTCAGAAAGCCGTTCAGTGACCATAAACTCAGTCAGCTAGAAAAATAAACTCTAGAGTATTTTGCTAAATGAATATGCACCATTGCATATTCATTATATTTAATCCATCATGTTTCTGACAGCCACCGTTTAAACGTTTATATTTAAAAAAGGAGTAGAAACAGAATTATGCCATTATAAATGTATTATAACATTATTATTATAAAAACTTATGAGAGCCAATGAGGTTCATTCTCGTGTTACGCAGCACGTTTGAGCTTCAGCAAGAACCAATGAGGTTCATTCTCGTGTTACGCAGCACGTTTGAGCTTCAGCAAGAACCAATGAGGTTCATTCTCGTGTTACGCAGCACGTTTGAGCTTCAGCAAGAGCCAATGAGGTTCATTCTCGTGTTACGCAGCACGTTTGAGCTTCAGCAAGAACCAATGAGGTTCATTCTCGTGTTACGCAGCACGTTTGAGCTTCAGCAAGAGCCAATGAGGTTCATTCTCGTGTTACGCAGCACGTTTGAGCTTCTGCAAGAACCAATGAGGTTCATTCTCGTGTTACGCAGCACGTTTGAGCTTCTGCAAGAACCAATGAGGTTCATTCTCGTGTTACGCAGCACGTTTGAGCTTCAGCAAGAGCCAATGAGGTTCATTCTCGTGTTACGCAGCACGTTTGAGCTTCTGCAAGAACCAATGAGGTTCATTCTCGTGTTACGCAGCACGTTTGAGCTTCTGCAAGAACCAATGAGGTTCATTCTCGTGTTACGCAGCACGTTTGAGCTTCAGCAAGAACCAATGAGGTTCATTCTCGTGTTACGCAGCACGTTTGAGCTTCTGCAAGAACCAATGAGGTTCATTCTCGTGTTACGCAGCACGTTTGAGCTTCAGCAAGAGCCAATGAGGTTCATTCTCGTGTTACGCAGCACGTTTGAGCTTCTGCAAGAACCAATGAGGTTCATTCTCGTGTTACGCAGCACGTTTGAGCTTCTGCAAGAACCAATGAGGTTCATTCTCGTGTTACGCAGCACGTTTGAGCTTCAGCAAGAGCCAATGAGGTTCATTCTCGTGTTACGCAGCACGTTTGAGCTTCTGCAAGAACCAATGAGGTTCATTCTCGTGTTACGCAGCACGTTTGAGCTTCTGCAAGAACCAATGAGGTTCATTCTCGTGTTACGCAGCACGTTTGAGCTTCAGCAAGAGCCAATGAGGATCATTCTCGTGTTACGCAGCACGTTTGAGCTTCTGCAAGAACCAATTAGGTTCATTCTCGTGTTACGCAGCACGTTTGAGCTTCTGCAAGAACCAATGAGGTTCATTCTCGTGTTACGCAGCACGTTTGAGCTTCTGCAAGAACCAATGAGGTTCATTCTCGTGTTACGCAGCACGTTTGAGCTTCAGCAAGAACCAATGAGGTTCATTCTCGTGTTACGCAGCACGTTTGAGCTTCTGCAAGAACCAATGAGGTTCATTCTCGTGTTACGCAGCACGTTTGAGCTTCTGCAAGAACCAATGAGGTTCATTCTCGTGTTACGCAGCACGTGTGAGCTTCAGCAAGAACCAATGAGGTTCATTCTCGTGTTACGCAGCACGTTTGAGCTTCAGCAAGAACCAATGAGGTTCATTCTCGTGTTACGCAGCACGTTTGAGCTTC